AGCTGTGGCTGCCCCTGGATCCCTGGAAGTGTCCAAGGCCAGGTTGGAACAACCTGGGATATGGAAGGTGTTCCTGCCCATGGCAGGGGCTGAAATGAGATAATCCTTAATATCCCTTCCCACCCAAACCATTCTGGGATGATTCCATAAAATAATGAGCAAAATGCAGTTTAAAAAGCCCCACAAGAACATTTCCTTCTTATCTTTTTAATGGCAGCTCAGACACAATTCCATTGTGGGTCTGGAATGACTTACAAACTCTCTTCCTCAGCAGTTAAAGTGCAATTTGCTGAGTCTTTTGTGCTTTTGGTAGAAATAAATAGAAAATTCTGTTGTTCTGGGCTTTTATCTAAATATATTACCATTTTTAATGTGAAAAAGTGATTCATCTGTGCCACTGGCATTTAATAAATTTTAGCACTGATGCTTCTCCGGCAACATTAAGTAGTGCTTTGTGTTGGAATTATAAGAGGTAATAAATGATGGCCTGAAAGCTGCTCTTCACATCAGAATGCCTTCAAAGCTCCCTGGGAATCCGAGGTAATTAGTGGTCACAACAGGAGCTGCTGCTCCTGGGGGTCTGATGGGCTCAGAAGAGCCTGGCAGGGGGGGAAAATCAAGGTGTGAAAGGCAGTTTTCTTGGGGAATAACAGAGAAAAACAGGTTATTTTGTTTCTCTTTAGTGCTCTGGTGCCCCTGGAACTGCCACTCCATCACCTGTCCTGGTCCAACCCTCTGGATCCTGATCCCACTTGGCCAAGGGCTGCCCTGGCAGCCTGTGCAGGGTCAGGAATTGGACTCAATGATCCTTCCAGCTCAGGAGATTCCAGGATTCTCTCATTCTGTGTTTTTCCACATTGGTTGTTCGTTGCCACAAAAATCCCTGTCACTGCCAAACGTATCCATAGGTCCAGGATTGTCCCTTTTCCAGCCTGGGGGCTCCCAGACACTGGTGACGGGCTGATGTGCTGCCCTGGCAGCTGGGCAGGGATGCAGAGGGAGGGAGGTCCTGCAGGGTGACTCCAAAATGAATCCCTGGATCCTCTGCTTCCACAGCAGCACACCCAGGACACGAGGATTGTGTGTCCCTCAACAGCACATCCCGTGGTTTGCAGTGCCTTGAGCTCCCCGAAGATCCCAGAATCCCAGCCTGGTTTAGGTTGGAAGGGACATTAAAGCCCATCCAGTTCCACCCCCTGCCATGGGCAGGGACACCTTCCACCAGCCCAGGTTGCTCCAACCTGGCCTTGGACACTTCCAGGGATCCAGGGGCAGCCACAGCTTCTCTGGGCAACCTGGGCCAGGGCCTCCCCACCCTCCCAGCCAGG